AAAATATAAAACAATTGCAAACTTAAATATAAATTTAATAAAAAAATATAATATATTTGTATGTATATGATATATTTTAAATGAAATGTATTACACGATTAAGATAGTGATTTTTCATCAAGAGAAAAATTTTCATCCATAAACAATTTAAATGCTTCCATTAAAGGGAAATCAAAAAATATTTTTAACTTTTTTTCTAATTTAGTTATACATATTTCTTTTTGTTGTGCTAATACATTATTTTTGTGTATATATTCATATGAAAGATTATCAGTTTTAAAATCAATATCTAATACTATTTCTAGAATAATAATATCTTGTAGGCTTGTTTTTTCTATGAATTTTGGCCAAGCATTTTCTTTTAGCATTATTTTGATATTGGTCAAAGATTTATTTACTTCAAACTCTGTATCTTTGTGAATTTCTTTTACATTTTCAATCATTTTATATATATATTCTAATCTTTGTACAAAAATTTCCAATGAATTTTTTATTTTACGTATCATTTTAAGAATATTTGGCGTAGTAGGATTATAAGTACCTCTTTTTACTTTATTCTCAAGTGTTATTACATCTGGAAGGCGACTGTGCCCTAAACTAATGTACCATTTACGCAATAGTTTAATATAAACAAATGTTATTTTAAATTTGATGCCTGGTATATGAGTTTCATCTATACCAGGTTTATAAATATAACATACTTGATTATCTGTTAGATTAACTTCCATACCACATTGCTCTTTAATCTCTGTTGCAAGATTTATTTGTTCACGTATTGTAAATTTCCAAGATTCATGTAATAATTCTTCATCATTTCTACGTTCAATGTATTTATAAAATTGAGCATGAGATGGTGATTTTGTTAAAATTTCATGTGTATTTGAATTATCAGAATCATAAGCAGCTTCACTTTCTATAGAACTTTCATATTGTGAGTAATACATATTAGTTAATTTAGACATTTTTTGTTTCTTTATAATTTAAAGAGTTAATTTAACAAATTTTTATAATGATAATGATTAGGTTAAGTTCCTATTAAATTTCTATTAATAAAAAAAATATATTATTTAAGTTTTCTTTCTTTTTCTTTTTTTGTTCTAATTAATATTTATATAATATATTTACATAATATATTTATATAATCATCAGAATAATTTGTGTTAGAAGTAGTTTTAGTTACAATTGACTATAGTAAAACTTTCTAAAGACATACATATCTTATACAGTTTTTATCACTTGAAAGATTTCATATTTATATGTTTTATGCATTGAATACTATATATATGTCGAGAAATATATAAGGTGTTTCAATAATTTAGTTAAATTAGAATGAAAATTATTTTATATAATATTTTATATATATTTTTATATATATTTATATAATATTTTATATAATATAAATATAATTTATTTATATAATAAAAAATAAATTGAAAATATAAAAT